AAACTGGCTGGCGGTCGTTCCCGAGCTACCCCCATATCACTATATATGGAAGTTGGCTGTCTTTGAAAAAAGGGGATAGTACATGAAAATACAGAACATAATTTTATAAAAATAAAAAATTAAAATTACATAAATACTGGAACTAAATTGTAAATAAATTGAATAAAAACTCAGTAAGAACACAACATAATTCTCAAAGTTAAAATATTAGAACAATGGAGAGGGGATAAGAGTGAAAATACTGATAAATGAACACGTGAACAACACATAGATGGGACATTGTTCATACATTGTACACACATTGTACACGTCTAAAACTCAAAAAAATTAAATATATCCATCAAGGGCCTATGTATATATAAGTATTTATTTATTTCAGGTACTTATATAGCGCTGTCAATTTACGCAGCGCGTTACACATATATATATACATTCACATCAGTCCCTAACCCTCAAGGGGTGTACAATCTAAGGTCCCTAACTCACATTCATACATACACATACTAGGGACAATTTAGACAGGATCCAATTAACCTACTAGCATGTCTTTGGAGTGTGGGAGGAAACCGGAGCACCCAGAGGAAACCCATGCAAGCACAGGGAGAACATGCAAACTCCATGCAGGAGGCACCATGGTCGGGAATTGAACCCATGACCCATTTACTGCAAGGCAGATGTGCTAACCACTAAGCCACTGTGCCGCCCATGTATAAATAAAGGTAAAGGTTGATATCTCTACCTTTATATACATAGGCCCTTGATGGATATAATTAATTTTGTTTTGAGGAGGAGAGAGAGTTTAAAAGGCCCCCCGTGTGCCCCGGGCAAGGGGGCCCCACCCACAACCGTTTCCCTTCATCCTAGGGCATGCAGTTTTCGGAAGTAACAGCCACTTGAAAGACCCTGTAAGCTCTATGCTTCAACCAGGGGCGGACTGACCATTTGGAAACTCGGGCACTGCCCGAGGGCCTGGGTCAGTAGGGGGCCCCATGAGATGCCCCTGGTACCTTTTTCATAGGCTTTTTTGAGTTTGGGCAAGGACACAGGGGCCCCATGATCCCCTATTGCCCGGGGGCCCCATGAGTTGTCAGTCCGCCCCTGGTTTCAACTTGACAATCTAGCTAGTGTTTGGGTGAGATGAAGCCTCTTGAAATTCCTGGATGGATGACTAGCCTTTCTGGAAATTAGGAAGGTTCTGTAGCTTGGAGGCAGGCCTTGCAGACTCTGGAAACATCAAGGATATGAATTAGGTCCTGGTTCTTCCAAGTAAAATTGTAAAGGCTGAAGGCATATATTTCCTTACATTCTAGGGCATACAGTTTGGAAGTAACAGACACTCACAAGACCACCTTCTTCTACTGGTGGAATGGATGACAAAGAAATGAGGTCCATAACGAGGAGGTAGACAATATTCTTCCTGGGTCGTAGTCCAGAGGGCACCAGTGAGAGCAGAAAGAGCTAAAACCTGGATAGTCCAACTGTTAGGCCAGTTTAAAGAAAAGCCAAAGCTTGACTGAGACAAGTAGACCAAATGTCTAGCAAAATTCCAGATCCTATGGTATGTGGAATTGTTAGAGATTTTAAAAAGTATCAGTTACACAAGGGGGGGGGGATAACCAAGTCCAGGTTCTACTGCTCAACCTCTACATTCTCAAGGCTAGCTGTCCTGGACAGGGATGAAGGATCTCACCCTGATATACAGTAGAAGAAGTCTGAAAGATATATTGGTGGGCATGTGCTGGGTTGCAGCAGGTTGAAGGAGCGGGTCTGCTTGGTACTTATGGGAGATTTTCCAGAAGTGTTACTTGTTCTGTGAGAAAAATGCATCAATAATCTCATTATCATTTGGACTGGACAGAAAGCTTATCGTGGACTCCTCGAATCCTCCCAGCACAAGTCTGGTCCCTGTGGCTCCTGCCCCCCCTCCCCCGTGTCTGGTGTGGTGGACTGTTCCTGACGTCATCATGCCCATAGACTTGCCCATAGACTTGCTTTGGAGATGAGGAGGTTGGGAACAGTTCACTGCTGGATCGCGAGGGAGCACTGTTTTCCAGTGGAGCGGAGGATTGGGTGAATGTACAGCTTTCTCCTCTCCCATAGGCAAAATGAGGGGTTGACTTGTGCAGGTTGACTTGGCTTACCACAATGTGCAGAAACCTCTGAAAGTTTGACAGAATTGGAACATAAATATGCATCCTGAAATTAAGCAATAACGTCCAGTATCTGTGTGGACTGCAATGATGATAATATGCAAATATTCCATTTACAACCTTTCCAACCTTATAGAAAAATCCAGTCACTTGAGGTCTATTACTGGAGTCACCAGACATCTTTTCACCTGTATGATAGAGGAATAGAATCCTGTAAGTCTCTCCCTGAAGCTTGTATGGGCAAGATCACTTTTTGATCCATATGTCTGCAGGTAATACAGACAGGTACCAGATAATTCTTCCGGGTATGAAGGAGTGCTGAACAGGAGTTGTCTTGAAAGCCCAAAAGTGACTATTTGTGATGGTTGAAATAACATGGGATTCTTGACGTTTTTCCATCCAGACCTGGTAGAACGATATTAGTCTGCCTTCCACCATACAGGTCTGTACTGGCAGGAAGTCGAAAAGATTTTACAGTTCTCGGGGGGTAGGAGAGGCCTTTGTTTTGCCACTTGGAGTGGCCCTCCAACCTCTTTAAAATAGGGACAGTATGACCTTTCCTTTTTAGGCCCAGATGGTATCTGAGATCTGGTAGAGAAGAATATTTTCTGACCCAATTATCGTATCTTGACGGATGAGTCCCTGATTACCCTTTGATGACTATATTGATTGCTTCATTCAAGAGACATAGCCATCCCAATGAAATCTTACACCATTTCACCACTTTGACATGAGGGGGCCATAACCTAGGGCTTCAGTCATAAGTCCTGCTAGGACAGTGTTTCTCAACCTTTTTTCAGTCAAGGCACCCTTTAAAATTATGGACAGTCGCCCTTTAAAATTATGGACAGGCACCCTTTAAAATTATGGACAGTCCCGAGGCACCCTTTAAAATTATGGACAGTCCCGAGGCACCCTTTAAAATTATGGGCAGTCTTGAGGCACCCTTTAAAATTATGGACAGTCCCGAGGGACCCTTTAAAATTATGGACAGTCTTGAGGCACCCTTTAAAATTATGGACAGTCTTGAGGCACCCTTTAAAATTAGAAAAACTATTCTAATAACGCAGCAACATCCACACATGTAGGACATCCAACATTAGAGGTGATTTATTCTTCCAAAGCAAATACACTTTTGCACACTGGTACTGACTAGTATTCCAATGTTTCTCTTCTCCCTCTGTTGTTCTCCATCACTGAGCTAATGTAACCCCAGTACTGATAGAGGGGGGCTCTTGGAGGGTCAAACTAGGATGCTGTGCAGGCAGCTGACATCCTCCTTATGAACTGACGATGTCATTGGTTGTCAGGATGCTGGTGACGAGAGGGTTGTAATGGTGCACAATGAAAATCAGGTGCAAAAAAGGCCGGCTGACGATGGCTTTGTGCAATTTTTTAGACATTTTGCCAAGGCACCCCTGAAGAAACCTCAAGGCACCCCAAGGTGCCTGGGCACCCTGGTTGAGAAAGGCTGTGCTAGGATATAACTGTATGCCTTTGATTCTATTTTAAAGAAGACTTAGTTCATCCAAAGATAGGATGACATGATCCTTGCAGATATCTTCTTTGATCAAACCCTTAGGCACTTGGTGACTGAGGTAAGCGCAATGGCTGACCTACATAAAAGCATCCATACCATGGAAGATGACTTTACTTAGCTTAGATAATGGCAAATACACATCAGAGCGGAAAATATCTAATTTACTGCATTGCATAAATAAGTATGAAAGTGCTGGAAATTTGGCAGGATCCGCTGAAACTCCGGAAATGAGTTCCCAATATCCACTAGAAATGGTGCATTTTATAAACTGACCCTTTAATTGTGAGCTATGTTCGATGTAGGGCAGCTATTCTCAACAAGCGTTCAGTGGAACCCCAGAGGCTGCTAGGGGTTCCTTAGGTAACCTCAATTCTAATGGAGCCTGCATAACTTTGAGGCCAACTTCACTTGGCAGAGCCAGAGGTATCAGTCCTTTAGCTGTCTTAAGGTGGGTATTCTTCTCACTGACCACCAATGTAAGAGCGGCATTCTTTCTACTGACCCCCAATGAATTAGTACATTCTTTCCAGTGGAAGGGTTGTTTTTCCTCCAACTGTTTTTCCAAAGAAGGACAACAAAGCTGATAAGGGGGCTGGAGGACTTCGGTTATGACAAATGGCTGCACACATTAAACTTTTCTCCCTGGAGAAGAGACGCGTATGAGCTTGAGATATCTGAGTGGTGATTCTAGCATGGCGAGAAAACTATTCAGTCTCAGGTTGTTAAAGAAGACACGTGGCCACTCAATGGAGATGGACGAGAAGTGGTTTAACCTTAACCTGTGTAGGGGTTTCTTTACTACTATAGCGCTGAGGATGTGGAACTCCCTTCCACAATTGGTGGTGTCAGCAGGGAGTGTTGGTAACTTTTAGATGGACATCTTAGAGAACACAATATACAGGGATATGGGAAATGGTAGAGACATAAATACATACACCCACACAGGTTGAAATGGATGAACGGATGTCCTTATTCAACCTTACCAACTATGTAACTGAACATAGATGTAAGCACGTCTCTCATTGTCCATAAGGTAAGGGTGCTCTTCTCTCACTGACCACCAATGTAAGGAGAAATCTTCCCACCAGCCACCAATGAAAGGAGCATTCTTCCCACTGATCACCAACATACGGCGCATTCTTCCTATTGACCACCAATGTAAGGAGACATTTCTTCCCACTGATCACTAATGTAAGGGACATTCTTCCCACTGACCCCCAATGTAAGGAGTATTCTTCCCACTGACCCCCAATGTAAGGGACATTATTCCCCCTAACCCCCAATGTAAGGGACATTCTTCCCACTGACCCCCAATGTAAGGGACATTCTTCCCACTGACCTCCAATGTAAGGGACATTCTTCCCACTGACCCCCAATGTAAGGGACATTCTTCCCACTGACCCCCAATGTAAGGGACATTCTTCCCACTGACCCCCAATGTAAGGGACATTCTTCCCACTGACCCCCAATGTAAGGGACATTCTTCCCACTGACCCCCAATGTAAGGGACATTCTTCCCACTGACCCCCAATGTAAGAGACATTCTTCCCACTGATCACCAATGTAAGGAACATTCTTCCCACCGACCCCCAATGTAAGGGACATTCTTCCCACTGACCACCAATGTAAGGGACATTCTTCCCACTGACCCCCCAATGTAAGGGACATTCTTCCCACTGATTACCAATGTAAGGGACATTCTTCCCACTGACCCCCAATGTAAGGGACATTCTTCCCACTGACTCCCCCAATGTAAGGGACATTCTTCCCACTGATCACCAATGTAAGGGACATTCTTCCCACTGATCACCAATGTAAGGGACATTCTTCCCACTGACCCCCAATGTAAGGGACATTCTTCCCACTGACCCCCAATGTAAGGGACATTCTTCCCACTGACCACAAATGTAAGGGACATTCTTCCCACTGATCACCAATGTAAGGGACATTCTTCCCACTGATCACCAATGTAAGGGACATTCTTCCCACTGACCCCCAATGTAAGGGGCATTCTTCCCACTGACCCCCCCCAATGTAAGGGACATTCTTCCCACTGACCCCCAATGTAAGGGACATTCTTCCCACTGACCCCCAATGTAAGGGACATTCTTCCCACTGATCCCAATGTAAGGGACATTCTTCCCACTGACCACCAATGTAAGGGACATTCTTCCCACTGATCACCAATGTAAGGGACATTCTTCCCACTGACACCAATGTAAGGGACATTCTTCCCACTGACCCCCAATGTAAGGGACATTCTTCCCACTGACCCCCAATGTAAGGGACATTCTTCCCACTGACCCCCAATGTAAGGGACATTCTTCCCACTGATCACCAATGTAAGGGACATTCTTCCCACTGATCACCAATGTAAGGGACATTCTTCCCACTGACCCCCAATGTAAGGGGCATTCTTCCCACTGACCCCCAATGTAAGGGACATTCTTCCCACTGACCCCCAATGTAAGGGACATTCTTCCCACTGACCACCAATGTAAGGGACATTCTTCCCACTGACCACCAATGTAAGGGACATTCTTCCCACTGACCACCAATGTAAGGGACATTCTTCCCACTGACCCCCAATGTAAGGGACATTCTTCCCACTGACCACCAATGTAAGGGACATTCTTCCCACTGACCCCCAATGTAAGGGACATTCTTCCCACTGACCACCAATGTAAGGGACATTCTTCCCACTGACCACCAATGTAAGGGACATTCTTCCCACTGACCTCCAATGTAAGGGACATTCTTCCCACTGACCCCCAATGTAAGGGACATTCTTCCCACTGATCACCAATGTAAGGGACATTCTTCCCACTGACCCCCAATGTAAGGGACATTCTTCCCACTGACCCCCAATGTAAGGGACATTCTTCCCACTGACCCCCAATGTAAGGGACATTCTTCCCACTGACCTCCAATGTAAGGGACATTCTTCCCACTGACCACCAATGTAAGGGACATTCTTCCCCACTGACCCCCAATGTAAGGGACATTCTTCCCACTGACCCCCAATGTAAGGGACATTCTTCCCACTGATCACCAATGTAAGGGACATTCTTCCCACTGACCCCCAATGTAAGGGACATTCTTCCCACTGACCCCCAATGTAAGGGGCATTCTTCCCACTGATCATCAATGTAGAGAATTGATTTACCGAGTAGCAATGTAAGGAAGCATTTCTCCACTGATCATCAATGTAAGGATTCATGTTTCTTTTTTTCTGGACATTATGGGGTTTATTTACTAAAGCTGGAGAGTCCAAAATCAGACTCCCTTCTGCATAGAAACCAATCAGCTTCCAGGTTTCATTGCCAAAGCTTCATTGAACAAGCTGAGGTTAGAAGCTGATTGGTTTCTATGCAGAAGGGAGTCTGATTTTGGACTCTCCAGCTTTAGTAAATAAACCCCTATGTGTGTTGTTGGGGATGTGTAACACTCGTTAGACTCTTCTTCACATCTTTTTATTTATTATATACAGTATATAACATATTGATCCTTCTACGTATCATCAGCTTTTACACATAGACATCACTAGAGGGCACAACTCCTCTACATGCAGCCCAGCCAAAATGGCTGCTATAATGAGCCACGGCTTTTAGCAAGCAGCTCCAGGTAACTGGTAACTTCAGTTACAGATCTGGCCACGCCGTCCCAGAAACACCGCAGAAATGCCAAAATCAGAAAGTTCCTTCGTATGACATATCTGAGTGACGAGGCCTTCGGAGACCAGCCTTCCCTGAATACAGCCCTGTAGAGGCTGCTGGGCATGGCTGCATCTGGAATTGCCCGGCCATTTGTGATGAGTGGAGGAGGATAGTAGGAGTGTGGTAGGTCCTGGATGAGTTTCGGGAAGGCCCGGGATTGGTGGCAGGTGTGGAATACGTGCAGAGAAGCAAGGATTGCCTGCACTCTTTTCTTAGGACAAAGGGGCACTTTTTACGTCTGGAGGAAAAGAAATGTAATCTCCAAACATGGAAAGGTTTCTTCACAGTAAGTGCTGTAAGGGACATTCTTCTCACTGACCACCTGTCACGGTGCACCCCACACGCCACGCCCACAGCGACTTGCTAACCTAGGCACGCACGTGCAGCCGTGACTCGGGGTAAGAGGGAATAAGGGGGACTTAACTTTGAATATATATATACGTATATAAGACTGGCCGTGATATACTTTCACAGCCAGCACTACCTCTGGCCACCACCGGAGGGAGACTCCACTCCAATCCAGCTAGATGACCCCACACACTGGCAGATACAAATCTTACATACAATCTGGTGCACTGATTAGAGTTGAGGAGCAGCCTAGCAATCGCACACCCTTCTAGGGTCTCTCCAGCTATCCTACAAGCCAGAACCCCGGTGCTAATCACTCTTCCACTGTCCACACACCCCCACACCAGACACACCACAAACGGTAGCTTGCCACCACCCAACAGTTTATCCGCAGAATGGTCTGTTGGGACACCACACACACATAGATCTCCGTCTGGCAGATCTGTTACCTTTACAATCTGCACGCAATCTGCCCACACACAGAGCAATTGCATACAGATTGGCAATGAACTTGACCGAGCATTGAAAAGCACTAAAATACAATACAATCTAATCTCTCCGAAGATATGAGCCCGAGCTTAAATACCCAGAAGTCACTTATTAATTTTAAGATTTAATTTCCCGAAAGTGGGCAGAGCATAAAAATATGTACAAAGTATAAAAAGTTACAGAAATACAGAAAATACAAGAAGACACACATTGAGCATTCACTATAAAATAAAAGGGAATAAAAAAAAAAATAAAACTTTTACCAAGATTTATCCTGCGACTGGAGCAAGTCAGGGAAAGTCAACAATCCGTTAGTCGATCGAACTAGCTCCATACGAATCACAACGTCCATATCCCCGGGTCCTCAATTTATGGGAATATGGATGTGGGCTGGACATTAGTCCTTGGCCAATTGACTCTGGGGGGTGTTCCCGTACCAGCCCACATGACGTTCTGGATGCTAAATGCCCAAAGTCGTTTGGACCAGGAACGGTTTGAATCACCAAGTCAGGGATTGAATTACCGACACCAGCGCATCAGTCCGATCGCGACAGTACCAATCACTGTTCCGCTGTCGCAATCCGGCGCCACATAACCATTTTCTGCATTTTTCTGGCATTCTACATAGTCCGCAAATATGGTTTTTACATGCAGATGTAGCCCACAGAGTGCCCAATCAGAAGGAAGTATTTTCATCTCTCTGCAACTAATATTTTAGCTTTTATGAGAGATGAAATCTATTCCTTTGATCTGTGATATACTTTAAATCTCCCGGACAGATCGGAGCCCCCCCTGGTGTCATGAAGCCGAAACGTCTGCGTTCCTCTTTTAAACTTCAGGTAGATGGCAAAGTCTGATTATAGACAAATCTTATTGGCACCTAGGTGTCACCTCCTTCCAGAGGAAGCTCTGTCCCTTCAGATGCTAATTGGTGACCATTTGTCTCTGAATACCTATGACTGAATATTTCTTTAATGACAAGGAATGAAACTTAATTTACAGTTACATATTGCTACAGATCACATCTTAGTCCAATCACTTGAATCCCACATCTACGTTACACCACCAATGTAAGGAACATTCTTCCCACTGACCACCAATGTAAGGAACATTCTTCCCACTGACCACCAATGTAAGGGACAATTTTTCCCACTGACCCCCAATGTAAGGGACATTCTTCCCACTGACCTCCAATGTAAGGGACATTTTTCCCACTGACCCCCAATGTAAGGGGCATTCTTCCCACTGACCACCAATGTAAGGGACATTCTTCCCACTGACCACCAATGTAAGGGACATTCTTCCCACTGACCACCAATGTAAGGGACATTCTTCCCACTGATCACCAACCAATGTAAGGGACATTTTCCCCACTGATCACCAATGTAAGGGACATTCTCCCCACTGACCACCAATGTAAGTGACATTCTTCCCACTGACCCCCAATGTAAGGGACATTCTTCCCACTGACCACCAATGTAAGGGACATTCTTCCCACTGACCACCAATGTAAGGGACATTCTTCCCACTGACCACCAATGTAAGGAACATTCTTCCCACTGACCCCCAATGTAAGGGACATTCTTCCCACTGACCCCCAATGTAAGGGACATTCTTCCCACTGACCCCCAATGTAAGGGACATTCTTGCCACTGACCCCCAATGTAAGGAACACTCTTGCCACTGACCACCAAGGTAAGGGACATTCTTTCCACTGATCACCAATGTAAGGGGCATTCTTGCCACTGACCCCCAATGTGAGGAACATTCATCCCAATGACCACCAATGTAAAGGACATTCTTCCCACTGGCCACCAATGTAAGGGACATTCTTCCCACTGACCTCCAATGTAAGGGACATTCTTCCCACTGACCACCAATGTAAGGGACATTCCTCCCACTGACCCCCAATGTAAGGGACATTCTTCCCACTGACCACCAATGTAAGGGACATTCTTCTCACTGACCCCCCAATGTAAGGGACATTCTTCCCACTGACCCCCAATGTAAGGGACATTCTTCCCACTGACCCCCAATGTAAGGGACATTCTTCCCACTGACCACCAATGTAAGGGACATTATTCCCACTGACCCCCAATGTAAGGGACATTGTTCCCACTGATCCCCAATGTAAGGGACATTCTTCCCACTGACCACCAATGTAAGGGACATTCTTCCCACTGACCCCCAATGTAAGGGACATTCTTCCCACTGCCCTCCAATGTAAGGGACATTCTTCCCACTGAACCAATGTAAGGGACATTCTTCCCACTGACCCCCAATGTAAGGGACATTCTTCCCACTGACCACCAATAGAAGGAACATTTTTTTTTATGGTTAAACTGGATGGACTTTTGTCTTTTTTCAGCCAGACTAACTATGTAACTATGTTTCCTTCAAAGCTATAGTGAAGGCCTAGTGAGGTTTATATGATCGAGCAGGGGAAGGTAATCCGCAGATTTGATTCCACCACAAGCAATGCCTGGGATGACTCGGCAAGGAATGGGCTTGGAATTTTGGGTTTGGTATGCAGCTCTCGCCCCAAGTGTCGGGGGCCTGAGCTCCATCCTCCACTGTCTGCCTCAAAAACCCGCTGGTGGGGTCAGTAATGTCTCTGCAGCCAGACAGCATGGTCACCTACCCCACCCTATGGCTGCTCTCCTACCCCGCTATGACCTCCCTGACTGCTACATACTGTAAGTGTATACACCATGTGCTGTGCGCACTATGCTGAATAACCTCAGACAGACATCGTGTGTCCCCTTGGAGCTCAACCTGTGGCCCTTTGGCACTTACTGTGCAGCCCTTAGTGGCCCTGCAGACAGTGGTCTGTTCTGCTGCATTCTTGGGTTAGTAAAAGAAACCAGACATGTGTGGTTTGTTTTGTTCCGAATCGAAATTTTGGACACATTTTTTGTTATAGGGAGATTTGGATGTATCCGAATTTCCAAGCTACAATAGTAACGAATTTGAACGAATCCGAAATAATGAAACAAAATTTTGTCCCAAATTCGAATTCAAAAACAAAATTGAATTAGAAAACGAGAACAGAATAAAATAGAATAGAAAATAAGGAAATATAATAGAAAAGAATAGCATAGAAATTTGAATAAAAAAATTGAATAGAACAGAATAGAATAGAAAAGAGTAAAACAGAACAGTAAATGAAGGAATAGAATAGAAAAGAATAGAATAGAATAGAATAGAAAAGAACAGATAATAGAATCGATTAGACAAAAAAAAAAATAAAATAGAATAGAAAATAAGGAAATATAATAGAAAAGAATAGCATAGAAAATAGAATAAAAAAAATGAACAGAAAAGAATAGAATAGAAAAGAGTAAAAACAGAACAGAAAATTGAAATACAATAGAATAGAAAATAAGGGAATAGACTAGAAAAAAAATAAAATTGTATAGAAAAGAATAGTATAGAAAAGTATAGAATAGATCAGAAAAAAAAGCATAGAATAGAATAAAAATGTGAGATGGTGTAGAATAGAATATAGCCACCTTCCGAATTTTGAAAAGAATAGAATAGAAATGAATAAAACTCAATAGAACAGAATCGAAAATAAAATAATAGAATAGAAAATAAAAGACTAGAATATAAAAAAAAGTAGAATAGAATAGAAAGAATATAACTGTCTTCCAAAATTTGAATTTTGAATAGAATAAATTTGAATTTGAATGGCAATTCTTTTCAAATGCGATTTGGATTTTCCAAATTCAGTTAAATTCAATTCAACCGAAATGCGGAAAATTCTAATCGAATTCGAAAATGAATAAATGAATCTAAACGAATTATGAAAAATAATTTAACTAGACAAAATTATTTAAATAACGAATCGAAACAAAACATATTTTTTTTTTATTCTGCACACATCTAGAAAAACATTTTTTATTAACCACTTGCCCTGCAGAGGATTTACCCCCTTTCCTGACCAGGCCATTTTTAGCGCTGCGGCGCTGCGTTACTTTAACTGACAATTGCGCGGTCATGCAACGCTGCACCCAAATGAAATTTATGTCCTTTTTTCCCCGCAAATGGAGCTTTCTTTCGGTGGTATTTGATTGCCTGTGCTGTTTTTATTTTTTTTGCGCTATAAACAAAAAATGACCAACAATTTAAAAAAAAACAAAAAAAACAATGTTTTTGACTTTTTGCTATTAAACAAGTCCAGTAAAAAAACTTTAAAAATCAAATTTCGGCATAAATTTCGGCAAGATGACATGGCTCCCCAAATCAACACAGACTGTGGAAACTTCACACTGGACTTCAAGCATCTTGCAGTGTGTGCCTCTCCATTCTTCCTCCATACTCGGGGTCCTTGTGCCTCTCCATTCTTCCTCCATACTCGGGGTCCTTGGGCCTCTCCATTCTTCCTCCATACTCGGGGTCCTTGGGCCTCTCCATTCTTCCTCCATACTCGGGGTCCTTGGGCCTCTCCATTCTTCCTCCATACTCGGGGTCCTTGGGCCTCTCCATTCTTCCTCCATACTCGGGGGTCCTTGTGCCTCTCCATTCTTCCTCCATACTCGGGGTCCTTGTGCCTCTCCATTCTTCCTCCATACTCGGGGTCCTTGTGCCTCTCCATTCTTCCTCCATACTCTGGGTCCTTGTGCCTCTCCATTCTTCCTCCATACTCGGGTCCTTGGGCCTCTCCATTCTTCCTCCATACTCGGGGTCCTTGGGCCTCTCCATTCTTCCTCCATACTCGGGGTCCTTGGGCCTCTCCATACTCGGGGGGTCCTTGGGCCTCTTCATACTCGGGGTCCTTGGGCCTCTCCATTCTTCCTCCATACTCGGGGTCCTTGGGCCTCTCCATTCTTCCTCCATACTCGGGGTCCTTGGGCCTCTCCATTCTTCCTCCATACTCGGGGTCCTTGGTCCTTGATTTCCAAATGAGATCCAAAAGTTGCTCTCATCAGAAAAGAGGACTTTGGACCACTGAGCACCAGACCAGGTCTGTTTTTCTTTAGCCCAGGTAAGACGCTTCTGATGTTGTTTTTGTTGTTCAGGAGCGGCTTGACAAGAGGAATACGACATCTGAAGCCCATGTCCAGGATCTGTTTGTGTGTGGTGGCTCTTGATGCACTGACTCCAGCCTCAGTCCACTCCTTGTGAAAGTCCCCAACACTTTTGAATGGCCTTTTCCTGACAATCCTCTCCAGGCTGCGGTCATCCCTGCTGCTTGTGCACCTTTTTCTCCCCACACTTTTCCCTTCCACATAACTTTCTATTAATGTGCTTTGATACAGCACTTTGGGAACATCCAACTTCTTCTGCAATTACCTTTTGAGGCTTTCCCTCCTTATGGAGGGTGTCAGTGATGGTGTCAGGTCAGCAGTCTTTCCCATGATTGTGATTCCTACTGAACCAGACTGAGAGACCATTTAAAGGCTCAGGAACCCTTTGCAGGTGTTATGGCTGAATGAGCTGATTAGAGTGGGACACTTTGAGCCGAGATTATTCCACCTTTTCACAATATTCTCATTTTCTGAGATTGTGGATTTGGGGTTTTCATGAGCTGTAAGCCATAATCATCACAATGATGACAAATCACGGCTGGAACTATCTTGCTTTGCATGGAATGAGTCTCATATATTAGTTTCACCTTTTAAGTTGCTCCACTGAAATAAATGAATGAATGCACCAGATTCTCATTTTTCGAGTTTCACCTGTATGTGTGTGTATATATATATATATATATATTGTATTTATATATATACTGTATGTTGAAATTCATTTTTATTACAAAATATATGAAAAGTATTTTAAAAAATACATTTCAAATATACTGCATGTCTTTAAAAATACAAATCTACATTTTTGGAACGCATTTACAAATATATGTAAAAATATATGTTAAATGACTTTTTTATATGTTAAAAAAAAAAAAAATCTGAAGAATATATTTTTAAAAAATATATATATTTTAAATATATTCTTCAGACTTTTTTTTAACATATAGAAAAGTCATTTAACATATATTTTTACATATATTTGTAAATGCGTTCCAAAAATGTAGATTTGTATTTTTAAAGACATGCAGTATATTTGAAATGTATTTTTTAAAATACTTTTCATATATTTTGTAATAAAAAGGCATTTCAACATGCAGTGTGTACGTGTGTGTATATATATAAAAATATATATATTTTTTTTAAACATATTGAATATGGCCAAAATTGTGGCATTTCAAATATATTTTTCTTCCATGTGGGTTGCTAAGGGTGTTCTGGGCTGCACTCTGCACTGAGGATGCTCTGGGCTGTGCTGAGGATGCTGCTGGATTACACTCTGTGCTGATGGTCCTTCGGATTGTATTCTGCACTGAGGGACTGAGCAAGTAGGCTGTGCTGTGCTGAAGGTGCTCTGAGCTGCATGCTGTGCTGAAGGTACTGTGGGGTGCATTCTGTGCCGAGTGTGCTCTGAGCTGCATGCTGTGCTGAAGGTACTGTGGGTCGCACTCTGTGCTGAGTGTGCTCTGAGCTGCAATGTTGTGCTGAAGGTACTGTGGGTCGCACTCTGTGCTGAGTGTGCTCTGAGCTGCATGCTGTGCTGAAGGTACTGTGGGGTGCATTCTGTGCTGAGTGTGCTCTGAGCTGCATGCTGTGCTGAAGGTACTGTGGGTTCGCACTCTGTGCTGAGTGTGCTCTGGGCTGCATGCTGTACTGAAGGTACTGAGGGTTGCATTCTGTGCTGAATGTGCTCTGAGCTGCATGTTGTGCTGAAGGTACTGTGGGTCGCACTCTGTGCTGAGTGTGCTCTGAGCTGCATGCTGTGCTGAAGACACTCCGGGTTACACGCTACACTGAGGGAGCTCTGAGCAGTATGCTGTGCTGAAGGTGCTCTGGGTTACACTCTGTGCTGAAGGCGCTCTGAGCTGCAATGTTGTGCTGAAGGTACTGTGGGGTGCACTCTGTGCTGGGTGTGCTCTGAGCTGCATGCTGTGCTGAAGGTACTGTGGGGTGCACTCTGTGCTGGGTGTGCTCTGAGCTGCATGTTGTGCTGAAGGTACTGTGGGGTGCACTCTGTGCTGGGTGTGCTCTGAGCTGCATGCTGTACTGAGGTACTGTTGCATTCTGTGCTGGGTGTGCTCTGAGCTGCATGTTGTGCTGAAGGTACTGTGGGTCGCACTCTGTGCCGAGTGTGCTCTGAGCTGCATGTTGTGCTGAAGGTACTGTGGGTCACACTCTGTGCTGAGTGTGCTCTGAGCTGCATGCTGTGCTGAAGACACTCCGGGTTACATGCTACACTGAGGGTGCTCTGGGCTGCAAGCTGCGCTAAG